ATCCAGACAATTATTATTTTATCCATCTGTACAGAGTGTGTGTGTGTGTGTGTGTGTGTGTGTGTGTGTGTGTGTGTGTGTCATCAAATAAGTTATGGAGATGTTAAAATTGTAAAAGTGAAATTACAGCAAAATGGTACTCTTCCCTCTCTCATCTCTCATCTTCAGACTCCAGTTATCTCTGATCATTCTATATCTGTTGTTGTTAATGGCATAACTCCTACTATTTACCCGGTGGTTACCATGGCCCAGCCTCCGTTTCTGCTCTCTTCCTTCTCTTATTAATGACCATTCCTCAACTAATAATCCAGTTCACTCCTGCTTTGGAGACTTAGAATACCACTGGGGTAAGTTATTGTGTTTTTTGTTTTGTTTGTTTTTTAAGTAAAATAGCTAGCGACAGATTCCCTATACTGTGTCTCATACGTGTCAAAGAACAGAAATATTGACAAGCAGTCTGCATGTCGTCGTGAAACTGTCATTATCATACAGTGAGATTATAGATTCGGTAACATGCCTCATGAGATCTTCAATTGTCGTTATCTAGTAGTAAAAATATTGGAAATCTGACAATAAGAGGATACACTAAGTATATCGGATCTTATTGTATTGAGTAAGCACAAGTGAGCACGCGAGGCATGAAAAGCTGGAGTACATATTTCATAAAAATGTTCGATGTGGTTCAGCTTTTCGTTTATTTTTTTATTCTAACATTGTGTTTGTCTTCCGGCCGTTGCCCAGACTTGAGATGGTGTGAGACGTTATTACATATAAATTATAAAAATTCGTGTGTGTGTGTGTGCAGGAGTGAACTAAACTATTGTTTTATACACACTTTGTAATTTTAAGGTGTGGGGTGTGTACAGTATTTCTAAAGCCACAGAGAATAAAAAAATATATATTCATATAGTAAGACTTAATGATACCTAATGGTGTATAGATCTCGTAAAAATCATAATCAATTGGTGTTTGCCACATAAAAACTACGTATTCCTGCTTGTTGTAACATGTTCTTCCTCTCTGACGGTGTGGTGACTGAGGCCGCACACCATCACCTGTTTATATCACATCTTACCGATTTTCCTAGTCATGAATAAAAACAAAATAAGTTGACTAAAATTATCAAAAGCTAAATCAACATGGCTGGTCAGAAAGAAGAAGGAAACACACACAAAAAAATATCGATGTTCAGGTGTTTGCTGGCGTGACAAAAGCGTGCTAGTGATGGCGGGTGAAGGAATACACACACACACACATCCGACCTGTCATTATTTTTTTTTACTTTTATCCTCTTCTTTGATCGGCTCGTTAGCCGCTTGGGCGATCGGTAAGTACTGGACATATACTGGCTCCAGAATGTATCTCTACAGTGCCAGACTGTTCCAAGGCTTGTCCCTCCGAAAAAGTTTGCCCTGACAATTTTTTGAAGCTACAGTTCGGGAATCTGTAGATACACTCAACATTGAGTCTCTCCCCTTTAGTTTAATTTTATACCACTTTGAATATTCAAAAATATCCTCCTCTCGCAAGTTCTTTTACAGTGTACAGTACTGGGTCATTTAGTAGGCTATCTGTTGTCTTTATGCCCTTCTTACCTCGGTATTTTAACCAGTTGCTCCCTCCTCCTCTCCTAAACTGAAATGCTGAGCCCACCTTGGCCTCTGGTTGCAGGTGAAGAAGAACATGGTGGAGTCGCCGACGATACAGTGGTTGGTGTTTGCGAAGGAGGACCTGACGGAGAGGTTGCCAGGGATGCTGCGTGAGGGTACTCAGGTAAGACTCCTCAGACCTCAGCATGTGTAGAATCTCTACCAAACCAGTTGACTTAGCAAATAAACTGTGCCCGCTGTTAAGTTTTCTCAGCAACTGGAATAATAAGAAGTTGACTGATTGCTTGTTACCAAAGACTATTAGTCTTTGCCTGTAACTATAGAGCTGTGAAGTCATACCACTGTTTACTAGAATAAAGTAAATACAGCGACTGAGCAATTCTCTTGGAAGTCAATGAACTTTTACAAATTACCCTGTTTTAAGTTGCCAAGAAAGCTAAACGTTGGTAAAGTTTAGCCGATATACTGATATTATGCCCTACAGTATATGGTAATGTAATGGTGAAAATTGTGTTTTTGCAATAACGCAAACTGTGGTGATGTATATTTTTGGGAAGTAGAAAACAGTCAAGCAGGTAAAGCAGCAGCGAGAACGTAATACAGTACCAGCATTGTAACCAATAATTTCACATGAAGATAAAATATAAGTGATGCATATAAGATTGGCAATAAAAATTTTGATAAGATGTGTTAAGTTTCAGTCATAAAATAATTGCCAACTGTGTGTATGTGTGTGTAGGTGGCGTTGATACAACGAGCCACAACACGTAAGGCGCTCCTCTTTTCCTCCAGGGTTGACCCCGATGACCAGATCAGGTGAGTGCCACAGATGGCAACTTAAGCTAACACTGTTAATTATTTTTGTGACTGAGATAATGAACAGTGGAATTGGTTTAACAGTTGTAGTATTTTGCGTTATTTAATGGGAGAATGACAAGCATGGCTGGGCGTTTATTCTCTGTTCTTGGTTACAACATGCCTTACACATTTCGTGTTTACACAAGCCTAAACACTTTCTGACTTTGGTAAGAAGTAACATAATATATATATTCAATAAAGGCAGCATATAAACATACTTATATAGTATAACAACAGTTTAAAGGATTTAGAGTGAATGACTGTCTGACATTGTGCCAAGAGTATGATTCATGAAATATTTTGTTTTATACGAATGTAAATAAGAATTGTGTGATTATTGTAAGGGAATAATAAAAGTGATGATAAATGGAATTCTAGAGGTACTACTATGAAACACTTTATTCGGGAATTATAAACACTTTCTTGTCTTCTTGTAAAACTCCTTCAGTTACTTTGTGATTCTAGATTAGTCTAGAAGGTAACATAAGACGTTCAAAATATACATGGTGTTTAGAAAGTCCCTTGATGTTCGTGTTTTCAGTCTTAAACATTCAAAACATAGGATGGTATTCCACTGTGTCCCTATTGACATTTTCCTTGGTATTTTAGGCAACATGAATGGTAGAATTGTAATTTAGTGAAGGAGACGTACTTAGAAATTCCGTATAGGCTCCTAGGCTTAACTTCTCTCCGATGCGGTAATTTTCTGCTAGTTAACTACAACAAAATGTAATATGATAACTTACAATGGATGTTGTCATAGTTGAGAAAAAGCAAAATAACTAGATTTCAAAGGCTCTTCAATATGTTTTTGCAGATTCCATCATGTTGGAGTCTGGTCTGCTGACATCGGTGGAAACCAGCAGGAGGAACTCATACCAGACCTTGAGCAGATGTACTCAGACTTCCAAGGGCGGGAGTTGCTGGTCACCACCAACGATAACTGGCCCTTCTTCAAGATCAACACACTCGACAATGGCACCATCATCCCCATTTCTGGTATTGACCTTCAGGTCATCACCACCCTCAGTGACTCCCTCAACTTCACGTAAGTATACAGTCAACTAGTACTACATGTACTTATACCAATACAGTAAATCAAACTGGGTGAGAAGAGAAGATAGTGGGGAGATCACCTGTAATAGTAAATGCTTTTATATTTTCCTTTTTTCTTATATTTCTTTACCTTTACTCTTTTACTTCTGTATTTCATATATATATATATATATATATATATATATATATATATATATATATATATATATATATATATATATATATATATATATATATATATATATATGTAACCGGTCGGAATTTGCTGGACTTTAATTTCTCACTTGACTTGGGGTTTATTAAAATTTAATAGATGGTAAAGGCAGTGGAAGCGCCCCTTTGAGAAAAATCCCGAACCAGCACAAGAACACTTAAATCTACTACACAAAATGAACTGTCCGTGACCCGTGGAAGGATAGCGTCTGTGACTGGGATGAATGAGACACACTGTAAAATTTAGACACTTATATTCCCTCCAACACTACAAACACAATCAAATAATGGTACACCAATATGCGCACCTCTTAACTTAAACTTAAAACACTACTCTGGGGAATAAAAGTTATAAATGACATAGAAATTATTAGAAACACAGGCAACAATAAATTTGAAGTATTAAGAAATGTTAATTGCACACATGAACAGGCCTTAAGGGCTTTCACAAAATAATATCAGTCACTTAGGAAATGGTACTAAAAAATAAGAAATTAAATACTCCACAATGAATAGGCCTTAAGGGTTTTCAACAAAATAATATCAGTCACTGAGGAATGGTAATAAAATATAAGAAATTAAATACTCTACAATGAATAGGCCTTAAGGGCTTTCAACAAAATGATATCAGTCACTGAGGAAATGGTAATAGAATTTAAGAAATTAAATACTCTACAATGAATAGGCCTTAAGGGCACTCAACAAAATTATAGCACCCCAACAGATGTACACTTCCTAACCTAACCTACCCACTACTCTGGGGAACAAGGTTATACCTGAGATCAGAATTATGAAGAACAATTAGAGGCATTATAAGAATCAAATCACAGTATCACTCTGGTTCCACTTAATGGCACAAACATTCAAAACAATATTATCAAAATTATTTAGAAACTATTAAACTACACACGTCAAGATAATATCAGTCTGAGGAATGGTGTTAACTACACCCGTAATAAGGGAGGGAAAATGTTACTCTAGGTATCTCCTAGAGACCTAGACTCACGGTCTCAGTGTGTGACCATTAGTTTACTCAGATAGCCTCAGTGTACTCCCAGTGCGTCCATAAAGCGGAAGGGAGTGAGCCAATCAGACCTTGTACAGTTGAGAGAAACTTTAGCTTCCCGTTAGCAAGAGGGTTTCACTAGCTGCTCGGGACATGTGGGGTTGTGCACCGGAGTGGTAAGAACTGATCACCCACTGCTGATGCTGGTCCCGTGTCGTTTTAGTTGTCGGGAGCACTCGTTCACTCAAGAGATCCTTTGCTACCCCGCTAAACAGTGACAGGCCTACACTGATCGGTCCAATGGCGACAATCGCCACCCTCAATCATCAACGGCAGTCAATCTCTCGCAGTCAACTCCGGTCAACTCCAATCAAGTCAAGTGGGTTCTGACGGAAACCCTGAAATGAACTCACTGTTAGCTCTAGTTTACTTTATCACTGCCCTATCTAACCCTGTCTGAGATCGAATGAGACTTACTTGTTATACTGCAATAGCGCAGCACAGGTGACTAGGCCACGTGACTATTTCTGATGGACGCGCGGAACGTCTTGTCTGTGTGAATGCTCTCCGGGACTGGGCCTAGCCAGCGTCGCGTCTCCCCAAGGCGCTAGCTTGGGCCTACGTGATATATTTTCCGCCTAACTAATAACTCCTTGGGACACCCGTAACATTATTCAGACTGCTAAACGATCTATAATAATTTCAAATTCAATAATAGTCCCTTAACTTCATGAATCGCATCATTATTAATTCGGTAAATCACATTCAATATCATATAGGCCTAGTTCCGCAATCTCTCGCTACGAGCAGGCAGCGCTCCCTCCCCTCAGATGACCTTGAACGCTCAGTATCACTCATGGCGGGGCATTTGAAATTACTCTGAAATTTCTGAATATTACATATATATATATATATATATATATAATCAACGACCTCACCAGCCAGGACTCGAACCCTCGAGTGCATTAGGTCGAGGGTTCGAGTCCTGGCTGGTGAGGTCGTTGATTACATGTTCAAAGTCCGCGTGTTATATAGACTAAATATGAAATATATATATATATATATATATATATATATATATATATATATATATATATATATATATATATATATATATATATATATATATGTAATATTCAGAAATTTCAGAGTAATTTCAAATGCCCCGCCATGAGTGATACTGAGCGTTCAAGGTCATCTGAGGGGAGGGAGCGCTGCCTGCTCGTAGCGAGAGACTGCGGAACTAGGCCTATATGATATTAAATGTGATTTACCGAATTAATAATGATGCGATTCATGAAGTTAAGGGACTATTATTGAATTTGAAATTATTATAGATCGTTTAGCAGTCTGAATAATGTTACGGGTGTCCCAAGGAGTTATTAGTTAGGCGGAAAATATATCACGTAGGCCCAAGCTAGCGCCTTGGGGAGACGCGACGCTGGCTAGGCCAGTCCCGGAGAGCATTCACACAGACAAGACGTTCCGCGCGTCCATCAGAAATAGTCACGTGGCCTAGTCACCTGTGCTGCGCTATTGCAGTATAACAAGTAAGTCTCATTCGATCTCAGACAGGGTTAGATAGGGCAGTGATAAAGTAAACTAGAGCTAACAGTGAGTTCATTTCAGGGTTTCCGTCAGAACCCACTTGACCGGAGTTGATTGGAGTTGACCGGAGTTGATTGGAGTTGACGAGAGAGAGATTGACTGCCGTTGATGATTGAGGGTGGCGATTGTCGCCATTGGACCGATCAGTGTAGGCCTGTCACTGTTTAGCGGGGTAGCAAAGGATCTCTTGAGTGAACGAGTGCTCCCGACAACTAAAACGACACGGGACCAGCATCGGCAGTGGGTGATCAGTTCTTACCACTCCGGTGCACAACACCACGTGTCCTCGGTCAGCTAGTGAAACCCTCTTGCTAACGGGAAGCTAAAGTTTCTCTCAACTGCACAAGGTCTGATTGGCTCACTCTCTTCCTGCCCATGGACGCACTGGGAGTACACTGAGGCTATCTGAGTATATTAATGGTCACACACTGAGACCGTGAGTCTAGGACTCTAGGAGATACCTAGAGGAACATTTTATCTTCCTTATTACGGGTGTAGTTAACACCATTCCTCAGACTGATATTATCTTGACGTGTGTAGTTTAATATTTCTTAAATAATTTTGATAGTAGTGTTTTTTTTAATGTTTGTGCCATTAAGTGGAACCAGAGTGATACTGTGATTTGATTCTTTTAATGCCTCTATTGTTCTTCATAATTCTGATCTCAGGTATAACCTTGTTCCCCAGAGTAGTGGTTAGGTTAGGTTAGGAAGTGTACATCTGTTGGGGTGCTATAATTTTGTTGAGTGCCCTTAAGGCCTATTCATTGTAGAGTATTTAATTTCTTAAATTCTATTACCATTTCCTCAGTGACTGAAATTATTTTGCTGAAAGCCCTTAAGGCCTATTCATTGTAGAGTATTTAATTTCTTATTTTTTATTACCATTCCTCAGTGACTGATATTATTTTGTTGAAAACCCTTAAGGCCTATTCATTGTGGAGTATTTAATTTCTTATTTTTTAGTACCATTTCCTAAGTGACTGATATTATTTTGTGAAAGCCTTAAGGCCTGTTCATGTGTGCAAGCAACATTTCTTAATACTTCAAATTTATTGTTGCCTGTGTTTCTAATAATTTCTATGTCATGTATAACTTTTATTCCCCAGAGTAGTGTTTAAGTTTAAGTTAAGAGGTGCGCATATTGGTGTACCATTATTTGATTGTGTTTGTAGTGTTGGAGGGAATATAAGTGTCTAAATTTTACAGTGTGTCTCATTCATCCCAGTCACAGACGCTATCCTTCCACGGGTCACGGACAGTTCATTTTGTGTAGTAGATTTAAGTGTTCTTGTGCTGGTTCGGGATTTTTCTCAAAGGGGCGCTTCCACTGCCTTTACCATCTATTAAATTTTAATAAACCCCAAGTCAAGTGAGAAATTAAAGTCCAGCAAATTCCGACCGGTTACATATATATATATATATATATATATATATATATATATATATATGTATGTATATATGTATATATATATATATATGTGTGTGTGTGTGTGTGTGTGTGTGTGTGTGTGTGTGTGTGTGTGTGTGTGTGTGTGTGGAGTGTAGGACAAAATGCCCCCAGGACAAAACCCCCTTGAACAAACCTAACCAAACTTCCTAACTTAACCCAAGTGGGTTTTGTCCTACACTCCACACACACACACACACACACACACACACACACAGTTTCCGTCTCCACCTCCTCTGCCGACTCAAGTCCCTCGGAGTTCCTGCACCCGAGCTCCTCAGTGTTTACTCAACATTCATACTTCCCAAGCTCATCTTTGCCTCCCCCACCTGGTCTTCGTCCCTAAACGCCACACAACGTAAACACCTAGAAAAAGTGCAAAAGAGGGCATGCAAGATTATTCTCTCCCCTTCCTTCTCCACATATCAAGAAGCTCTCAACGCACTGACCCTTTCGACTCTCACTGACCATCACCACGACCTCATCTGCAAATTTGGTAAGAAGCTTCTGCACCATCCTCGACACCGGCTCCTACTACCACCTGAGATCCCTAGCCCGAGAATTGCTGTTCGACACCACAACCGCATCCAGCCCATACGTGCACGAACTGATCGCTATAAGAACAGCCCAGTCCCAACCATTGTAAAAATTATCAATAACTTGTAATAAACCAGTGTATTCACTCCCAGTAAATACTACTTCTTGCACTGTCACTATGTTGAAATGCCCTGTAGTTTGAGCGTTTCCCCATCTAGTTATTATATATCTTATTTATATCACTTATGTTTTTTGTATATTATTTGTAATTTGAAACCCATTCCCCAAATATGTAACTGTATATTTTCAGCCTTCTGGCTGCCAAGCTCTTTCAATAAACCGTTAATTATTATTATTATTATTATTATTATTATTATTATTATTATTATTATTATTATTATTATTATTATTATTATTATTATTGCACACACATATGTCTGACTCCAGTGAAAGCTCGGTTGTCTGGAATGAGGAAATTATTATGACGTTTCCCACCTTACCCCATTGAAAATAAGAGTAAATGGTGTAATAGAAGATCTATCAAAAGTTGAGTATTGTGCTTTATAATGAGAGATGAATTGAGTGCGAGTAATGCTGTGATAAATTATAGTTATAAAAGGTTTGTATGGTGGCTTAGGTATATCTGTATGATGGATGGCTGGTGTAGCTTTGTGTCACTGGCAGGTTTCGGGTGATACGGCCTCCAGATGACAATTGGGGTGGACCACAACCTGATGGGAGCATCACTGGTCTGGTGGGTCAGGTGGCCAGGCACGAAGCACATGCCACACTCTGTGAGCTCACAATTACAAGTAGGTTTTCCTCAGATATATGGAGGGGAAATCCATAAATAATTTGATGATTCATCTCATTATTCCATGACAAGTAAGTCCTCTTTAGGTCTATGATGGAGAAGCCTTTAAAATGAAGCCTTTCCTATCATAATTCCATGTCTTCACGAATAGGAAGGAAGTAGGCCATCACATATTGGTCTTCTTGAGGTCTGTAAAGGGAGATATCACATACTGTCTAATCAGGTCTTCACTCATCAGAAATAGGTCTTTTTCAGGGCTCAAAGCATTCAGGACTTTTAACTGGTTTCTGTAAACATCTGTGCGGGATATTTACTTCGGTACTCAGAAAAAATGGCACTGGAAAAATGGAATCAACTATTCTGATGATTATGCCTTTTTTCCGGTGCCATTTTCTCTTGTGCCATTTTCCCTACATTCGTTTACTTCAGCAACCCACACAGATTCATTTGTTGCTTTACTGTAATGCTACACTTTCTCTGTTCTTATAGATACGACACATATACAACGATATGTTCCTCCAGTAACCTTTCCCGTTGTTTTCAGCGTTTCTTCCATTTGTATCCCATACCGTTATTTACAAGTAAAATTTTGATTTGTCCTTCATGTACACAGTTTGCACTCATGGCCCTTATATGAAAACTATCAATTCAGAATCTTCACTTTGTTCCATTGTTTACACATCCAGACAGGGAGACTTTCTTCAGCCATATTTTCCTTTCTTGTCTGTAATTGCATAACTCTCTTCTAGGCAGTCGTGAGACAGTGGTTGACTTCACTGCTCCCTACTATATGGAGTCCACAACACTGGTGTCAAATGCCCTAAAGGAGAAAAATCGAGCCTTTGCTGTCTTTTCTCCCTTCACAGCCCAGGTACAAACCTTGAAGCAATAACCTTTGTTATAAATGAGATCTTATATCCTCATTTTTTACCTTTAATTTTACTTGGGAACAGGGTGCTCCTTCCCTTGACCATACCGGTGGTTATGTGATGCTCTGGACTTGTTGTTTTATACTGAGGCTCCAACTCTAGTAAGGTTTACCTAAGATCCCTAATTTGGCAATTTTTCCCTAAAGCTTCTGTGTCCAGTTCCCAAATTTGTTTATATTATAACATCAGCAATGAGAACACTCCTGAAAGACTAAACTAGTACACTGTCCACTTTAACATGGTGTCTGCTTAAGTGAATTGGGATATAAAGGTATGAAATTTTAGAATATTTATTAAACATACATGAAAAATATGTTAAGGAGTAAATGCTTACATATACAATTATATCAGACCAGGGCTGCTTCTGAGACTTAAAATATTATCATAAAAGCAGGACCATCCGAATACGGGATGCGTTTTTTGATAAGCTGTCTCCCTATTTAAGGAGTGGGTTAAAAAAGCTAGAGCTACACTTAACAACAAAAGAGTTAAGTCCACCTACTCCTGTTCCAACTGTGTAGTCTGAAGTAAATCTAAGAAATCACATGTATGGTTTTGCCTTGACAGGTATGGATTTGCATCTGTGTGGTGACAGCACTGGTGGGCCCAGTGCTGTATGTAGTGAGCCACATAATGATAGTGTATGTGGGGAAGAAGGACCATGTCCACCACTCAATGCAGAGCCTTAGCTTCAACATGTACAGGAACCTGATGGTGCAGGGCAATCAGATCACTTCCCCTCACTGGAGCCTTCGTTTCATCTTCTTCTTCTGGTACCTCTTCTGTTTCTATATATATGGTGAGGCTGACCAAAAAATCTTCTATATCTTGGGATCAATAGGTGTTATTGATCTCTGAAATCTAAACCACTTGATGTATAGATAGGTTCTTCACTTTGTATAAATATTGTATTCCTGCAAATTGGCACGCAAAACGAAACCAGTTTTTGATTGGGGCAACCTTACAGTAGCTCACCCAACTGTGAATTGTTACCTGACTTTACA